CTTCAGGAGTGCGTGAATTATAGAGTTGCTCTACAAAAGGAGTAAATTTCACTAAGTACCAGAGATAACATCCTAGCGACAACACAATAATTAGATCAGGACATACCACCATAAGATAGCACAATGCCTTTGCGCCCAATTCATGAGTCCGCTTCTCGACAAGCTGGGATATCTTCTCGGGGAAAATAGCTTCCTTGCTTTTGTTGAGGCTGGTTCGGAAGTCCATCATGCTTCGGCTCTCCTCGGGGCCCCCACCTAAAGAGCTAGCCCCGAGATGATTGGACCGAGTTTCAAAAAACTGGGCCACCTTAGGCTAATGGGGTGGCGACCTCCTTTCTTGGTCCTCCTCGTCCAAGTTAATAATTAGGACCTCCTTGGGCTTAGTTGAGGTGGTGGGCCCAGTTGTCAGTTTATGGGAACAATCACCTCAGGAGGCCTTCCTCTTCCTCTTCTTCATGTCCGAAAAGAGCCCTTTCATTGAAAGATCAGTCATGATGCTTGCAAAAGGTGAGTAAAAAGTCAGTCAAAGCAATACAAGGACAAAGTAATATGAAAAAGATGAAGTACCCATGCCCGAAGTGGCGACCTACCCGGAGGACTCAGCCCAGCCTTAACCAGCTTTTCCTCGGTCAAGTAATCCTCTAATTTCAGGTTGAACTCCGTAGGTCGCACATTCTTTTCTACATTTTCATATCCATCTGATCCCCGGGATCCTTAATGCCTTTCCTCGAATATGTTGGGAAAGGCCACCCCCTGTCAACAACAAGAGTTAAGTATCTCCTCTTTCAAGCCAAGACCTTTGAGGGGTACTCGTGAAAGAGTTTATATCCAGGTCAGAAGGACATATAGTAAATAAATTTGTCCTTGGCCATAGGACTGGTGGGATTTTCTTTTATTGAGCAATACCAAGATGAAGGTATCTATATCTAAAGGAAGGCCAAAGTCATGGAAAAGAGAAATGGTACCAACTAGGGTACGAACCAAGTTCAGGTGAAGTTGGTTGATGGTGATGTCAAAAAATTTTAAGACTTCATTGATGAATGGGTGAAGTGGAAAGCGAAGCTCGGCCAAGGTCATCATGGTCCTAGGGAAAACCTTATAAGGGAAGGTAGTAACTGTACCGATCAGGAAATTTGTACCAAGCAACCAAAGCACAGATTTGCTCGGCGGACATCATGGAAAGACCAAAGCGGTTTGGTTCTCTAGGATGAGCTACGCGGCGGGAAGATGAGACCTTCTTATGAGAGATTTGTCAGTCTTGGATCGAGGTGCCCACCTCGGTTGCAATGGAATTCAGATCTTGAGCCTAGGTACCCTCCTCAGCTTGATCAGACTCAACTTCCTCTTTGCTAAACAAGCTACTACTCGACATAATTGGAACATAGTAAAAGAACGAGCTAGAACAAGGGAAGATGACTTACCTAGGGGGAGAAACTGTATACCAACCTTGAAGACCGAAGATAGAAGACCGGCTTAGAGGCATCGAAGTTAGTGCGTGACCTTTAAACGTGAGAGCTCAATCAGGACGAAGGAATTGGGACCCCAAGGCCCCTATTTATAACCAGTATAGTCGATCACAAAAGGTTCAGATCAATTGGATCCGATGGCTCCCAAGAGGGGTGGTTGCACGACCCTCAAGGTCAAATTCGATTGAGCACATTTTTGAAGTCTGCATGACATCCGTGCATTCCCAAGACACGATCTAACCCAAAGGTCAAGCCAATTGGGTCGGTCAGGTTTGACCCATAGACTAGACCTCAACCAAGCCAGAGATTGGGCCAAATCCACCTAGACTCATCATGAACTCCCGCACTGAGTTGAGCACCTCTGGCAGGGGAGTGGGGGCAATTGATGAGGGGTAAATTGGCCCAACCTGTTAGCATGCGGGCACGTGGATCGACCTGATGACTGGATGATGACTCAACATTTATTGCCACTTCAGTAGGCCAAGTCAACTCAAGTACCTTGGGCACTTGGCCAAGATTGAGGTCCGAGTAGCTCGTGATGGCCTGACCTGCCGAGGCAACACGTAGCTCACTTCTAGAAGCTAGCCAACTGTCTTTGGCCTCTCTGGGATCACATTGCACATCTGCAAGCCTTATCCTTATCCCGCTTAGATTGGATGAACTCGATAAGCCTCGTCAGTTCACACGAAGTCCATCTTCAAGCACGAAGTGGACTCTTAGTAATGCAGGCTAGGGATCTTGGAGGTGTTTCGTAAGACTTAAGGCAGCTCGCCTATATTAGGGCCTCAACCCCAACGCTACAAGGTACGCACGATTATTGCTCACTAGCTTTCTTGCTTACAAAACTCTTCAGCTCGCAAACAACAGTTACTAACTTAAGTATTGGAGTGCCTACATCGGGTAAGCCACTCTGGGTCCTCTGATCTTGCTCTCTTGTAGTTCGACTGGCCACCTAAGCAAACTGACGTCCGAACGGCCCTCCATCTAGGAGTGACCAGATCATGCACCATCAAATTGGTATTAACGGTTTCTAAAAATCTAGTAACTAAAACTGAATTGAAGCCAATCTGTTAATCGGTTGATTGGTTCGATTAACCGTCAATTTGGTATTTTGATTTTTATATTTGTAGTATATATTATAAATAAATACATAAATATAATAAAAATCTTTCAATATGTAAAATATTACATTTTAAATAATAATATATTATATATTATAAATATATAGTGCATATTTATTAATTTATAATATATATAGAGAAAAATATAAAATGTATATAATATAATATATAAAAATATATGTATACTGGTCGGTTTGGTTAACTGTTAGTTTTCTATATTGGTTAACAGAAATTGAAGAGAGACCTTTACTTTTTTTTAATCCTGATCCAAAACCGAATCAACCAGTTCGGTTAATCGAAATTTTCGGTTTGCTTTTTCTTGTTCACCCCTATGGTAGATGTTGTCTAAGGCATGGGGGGAAACACCTTGGGTCCCCCCAGATATGTGTTTAAGCATGGTCATGGTCATGGTTACTCTTCTTGCTTTCTTGGGAATTTCAAGTGATTTTGATGCTTTGAAGTTGAGGAAAGATATAGAGGAGAGTTTTGGTATTGAAGTTATATATTATCGAGTACCAAGTAGACCTATTCATGGGTCGGGCTGGGCATTGCTTCTTTATCAACAGAAAAATGTGCAAGCCCGAACCCGAGCCCGACCCGACCATCGGGCCTAGATCTTGAGCCTGAGCCTGACCCTTATATAAAGCCCGAAGCCCGAAGCCCAACTTGTACACAAAATGTCTTATTTTCAGTGTACTTTTATAAACTAATAGTATATTAATTTAATAAATGTTTAATAAATTAATAAACTAATTTATATTTTCTAATAGTAAATGAAGAAACAAATATATATTATATATAACATAAATGCTTTTTTATTATATGTAATAATATCAGGTTGGGCTTATTTGAGAAAGCATGGGCCTGATCCAAAAAATGACAAGGACTGGTATTTAAAACCCGAGCCCAAGCCCACGGACTTGAAATTTTACCAAAGCATGAAAAATAACAGGTTGGGCCGTTGGGCTACCCAGCCCATAAATAGATCTAATGATAAGATGGTTTATAATGATAGAGCATCTTTTCTTTGGCGTTCGGGAGGAGTAAGACAATGAACAATAACTTTCGTCCTCCTTTCTCAATTTGATTTGCAAATTTTTAAAAGGGACAATTTGGTAAAAAAGTGGTTTTCTTGTCCCACTCAGTGTTTTCGTGATATGTTTCAAAACATATCCGAATGCAAATTCATGAAACTTATTATTTTTTTTTTTGGTAAAAAGTCCACTTGAAAATTGGGCAAGAAACAATAAAACTATTTTACAATCTGGAACATCTGATCCAATTAAATCCGAGTCCACTTATTTTATATTATATATCAATTTAATATATAAAATTTATATAGTTTAATATAAAAATAAAATGTAAATGTACAACTTTATATTATAACAATATAAATATAATGATACAATATTTCAAATTTATGTTGACTTATTATATAACAAGTAAAGTATTTTTTAATTTTTATTTGTTTAAAATTTCGAAGCAAAGTTGATTATATCCAGATTCGATCCCAATTGTCCATGCCAATAACCCTCTTTCATTCTTTTTAATATATTTTTATTTATACATTTTTTTTTGCATTTTTTTAACACAACCTCTACTATACAACGTCCCTAATTATCTAAAATACCCCTCCCAAAGTTTCTCCTAATGTTGTGTTTGGTTTGAAAGAAAAATAGAGAAAAAAAGGAAAAGGTAGAAAAACCTATACAAGGTCTAAATTATACATGTAATAATTGATAAGAAAATAATAGATAAGAAAATAATAGTAAAATTATAATATTTAATAATTAATCATAAAATATTATCATAATTATAATTACATATATAATCATATAATAATTAGTATTTTTTTGTACTAATAAAAATTATATTTTTAAAAACATTTAAATTTAAACTATAAATTATAAAAAATAAAAAATGAATAATTTTTATTATAAATATTTAATTGTACTAATAAAGTAATATTTTTAAAAATATTATTATTAATCTAAATTACATTTAAAATAATTACATAAATAAAGTTTTACAATTAATTTTAAACTTTTATTAAAAAATTAAAACTAGTTCATTAATAAAAGTAATAAAAAGTATATTAATTTTAAGTCCATTTAAATTATATTTTTAAAGAATCTCATTAGAATGAAACTTGGATTGTAAACTAGTTCATGAATTYCGAATTTATTCACACCAATCTCACAATCACATCCCACCATGTATTGGGAACATCTCCCATGAATAATAATATATAAATATAAAAAATATTCCTGATGTATGGTTGGGACATGCTGAAGAGCATTCTGTGAGAAACGGATCAGGACTCGTTATTATTCACGGGAGATATTCTTGAAGACGCTCTCGATACAAGATGGGATGTGGCATCATGTGAGGTTGGGGTGATGAGCGCTTGAATTTGGTGCTCACTCCGCTTGAACTGTGTTAGCACAAACTTGTGAGCACCAAATCCCCTCTCTCTAGGAGGAGCATATCCCAATTCCATTTAAGAACTGCATCAGGGGGGTCGGATTCGGACCAATTCAAAAATTTTAAAGTTTTTGACAAATAACAAATACTCAAGCAGCTCAACCGAAGCCTGCCCTTGCTTTGTATTGGAAAATTTTCCTTACGCCTCTACTCTCTTGAGTCTCTGTCCACCACCGCACGGTACATCACCATCAGCAGTCTCCCCGCCGGTCACCGTGAGCCCCCACCATCGGCTTCCCCTCTCTCTGTAGTCCCTTTCTCTTTTCTTCCGCTACGAATTCGGTCATCAACCACGTCTGGCAACAACAGTACAGTTATCAGGTAGGGTTAAATTATTGCCTGCAGCTTCATACCAGTGTCTACAAACAATTTCCTTTTTCCCTGTCTATTTAAAATTTGTTCTTTTGGGTCGTATGTCTGTCCGTTTGTCTCCTAAGATCGCAATCCATGGTGTCTCGTTGCTCGTAAAGAACAGGTTTTAAAATAAGTATATTTTATGTTAATTATAATAATAGGAGTGTAAATCAGAGTATAATTAGCATTCAAGACCGAGAGATAACTGAATGCCATCTCTTCCCTTAAGAGATTGAGAAGGATGCTGCCCTTAAAATTAGAGTAGGATGGGCGAAATGGAGGGTGCATCCAGAGTCTTACATGACAAAGCTGAATACCACTTCAGCTAGGAAAATTCTATAAAGCAGTTGTAAGGCCAGCTATGCTGAGAGCGTTGTTGGGCAATTAAGAAATAGCATGTAYAGAAATTAGCGTGGAAGAAATGCKAATGCTTAGATGGATGAGTGGTGACACTAGAAAGGAGAGGATTAAAGAGCTAGGAAAAGTGATCTATTACAAGTTGAAGGGGCTTAAAGAGCTAAGAGAAGAAGGAAAAAGGGCTTGAGTGGAAGTAATAAGAAACAATTTAAGCACCCATAGTTTAACAATGGATATGGCACTGAACAGAATGGAATGATGAAACAGGAATTGGTGGCTGGTTCCATATAGTTGGGACAAGGCTTAGACGGTGATGATTGATGATGGGTCTTTCTTGCAAGTTGGAAGTGTTATGCCTTTACAACAGAGTCTTTGTCTTTGGTTTCATGAAACTTTGTTTTGGTACTGTTCCTACTACCTTAAAAGTCTGGTATGGTTGTTTACAACTTAAATATGTTGGCTGGTTGTCTTGGGTGGGAGCAATAACAAATGATTTAAGTGCCCGTAAGTTAATGACATATATGACACTAAACATAATGGAATGGTAAAACAGGATTGATGTAGCTGACCCCATATAGTTCAGACAAGACTTAGATGATGAATGGGATAAGTGAAGGTAAAGAAATTTACATAAACTCTTATTGCTTGTGATTTAATAGCTATTCTTAGTCATTCTCTAGTTCTCTTGTGCTATATCTCAATGCATGTGTTTCTTCTTTCTTGTTTTATAGGACTTTGGGTTCAAATGAGAATCCAAACCAAGGTTTAAAATGTTGATGTTAATGGAAATGTTGATAGTCCAAATACAGGAGACATGTTGGAAATATCAGAAATATCATATGGGAATATTGTAAAAATTGTAGACATGGCGGAAACATTTTCAAATATGAAAAAATATAGAATGATATTTATGAAATGATAAAATAAGCATGGGCATGCTTTTTTAAAATATTATCTTGTTCCAAATCATTAAAGATAGCCAAGAAATTAAGGTCATAGACAAAAGCAAGTGTTGTGAAGTTGTCTTGTAAACCTTAAGATTCAAAACTACATGATACAATGAGTTAAAGAAAAATTTAAACCCATAGAAAATGCAAATGGTTCTAACGGATCAACCAAATAATCTATTACACAAACAAAAACTAATATAACGTTGTCTTGTAAACCTTAAGATTCAAAACTGCATGATAGAATGAGTTAAAGAAAAATTTAAACCCATGGAAAATGCAAACGGTTCTAACAGGTCGACTAAAAAGTCTATTACACAAACAAAAACTAATATAACTTTATGTTTGAAATGAATATCAAGCTGGCTCAATGTGGTAATCAAGTTAGGTGGTCAATAGCATTGTTACTCCATATATCTACAATATTGTCACCAACTTATGTTATAATACTATCTTTTGTACTCCACATAGTGTTGGTAGTGTTCATTGGGAATATGTTGATTCTAGTAAAATTTCATGTCATTATCCATGGAAATGGAAATATGTCATGGAAACTATCTCTTGAACTGCACATAGTGCTGGTAGTGTTCACTAGGGAATATGTTGGTTCTAGTAAAATTTCGTGTCACTATCCATGGAAATGGAAATATGTCATTGAAATATTAGGAAATTTAGGGACATTTTGATCCATGACCCAAACTCATTAGTATCTGTAGAGAACATTGATGTGGGCCCCACAGCTGTGGTACCACTCTGTCCGTAGGGTAGAATGTATCTAGTCACAGCTGTGGTTATTTTGTTGTTCTGTTATTTCTAGTTTCAGTTTTATATTGGTTGTTATTTGTTAGCAGTTATGATGTAAACACCAAGGGCAGATATGTCCTTTCATGTAACTAGCATAACCTATATATATTAACTTAAAGTGGCGGYGGCAGAATAATTGACATTCTGTTCTTCTCCTCAAAATCTGTGTTCTATTGCTCTTCCATCACTCTTTCTTCTACATCTTCTTCACTTTCTCTTCTCATCGAACCTAAAATCTCTTAGTGATCAAGACTGAATAGCAGTCTTGAAAACCTACAGTATCTGTCCATGCCATGAAGAAAAACATGATGTTCTTGCATACCTATTGGACTTGCTTGGTCTTTAGATAGAAAGCCATTTTTTTGGTAATAAAATAAAATTTTATGAAAAAGAAAATAAGAAGATAGAAGAAAGGTGACCAACAGTCACCCAAGAGAAGGAAACAAAACTTCACAACCCACAACTCATCTTCAAAAACCACACCCAAAAGACCTACCCAGCCTGAAAACAAGAACATCAGGCCCCAATCAAACAATAAGACCAAAACTACAGAAAGACAAAACTCAACCATAACACCACACAAGACTTTTTTACTCAATCGTTCAAAACTCTCCAAAGGATTGAGCACAATCTCAACACTTCTCTTACAGAGTTTCTTAGATTTATGCACCTTTCTGATAGCCATTTTTCATGTGAGATTTTGTTTTACTTTGTTGTTTTTTTCTTGTTGGTAAGGTGTACTGTTATCTTCATTTCTTGTCTTAAAAAAGTAAAGTTTTTAATTCCTTTATTTAATTTTCATTTCCTTGGGAGGGGGGGTGGTGGTGGTGGAGGTTGATGGTGGTGACTGGTGGGGTGGATGGGTAGAGTGTAGAGGTGGAAGAGAAAGGGGAAAGGAGGAAAAATTAGAGTATATGAAGAGATGAAAATAGAAATCCATAAAAGAAAAAACAAAAACAAATTTTGAACCCACTCTTGTTAGTCAATGTTAAAGGGACTCGTACATGGAAATGAGGATGGACATGTAAAGCTGAAATGGAGGTCTGTAATTGGTTATATGGCTCCCTCAATGGCATTTCACGTTCAGCTAATCTGTACACGACCTAACCCAGCCTCCATTTAATTCTATGTTTGATTTGACTCCGATTCTTGTCATCTTTCCTTCCTTTTCTTTCTTTCTTTTTTTTGATGACTATCTCCTATTTCTCTTTATGTTATCCAGAACCTTGAATTGTTTTATTTATCTTGTGCGGGTCCAGCAACCAAAATGAAGAGCTTTTGATTGGACTTGGTTTAGAATCAGAAATAAGGCGAAACAGGATTAAACCAAAAGAAAACAACATTTTGAGGCTTTGGGTTTTCCTTTATGTCTTCTCTCTCTCTCTCTCTCTCTCTCTCTAAATGGCATCTATGAAATGATCCAACAAGAGCTAAATCTTTGATGTTTGCAATAAACTGGTGGTTATGTAACCAAAACAAAACCCTCAGTCTTGAGGTTGCTATCTTATGATGGGGCTGGCCTTTTGGGCCAGAGTGTAATTTATCTAAAATGTGCCTCACCTAATTCAATGAATTAGATTGTTGGGTTGGTGGAGGCAGTGGTCCCAACTGACCCATAGTGTCACAATGCTTCAAACTAATGATCTCATGTGGTTAATCTTTTTTCTAGGATGTCCACCTTAAGTGAAGAAAGTTAATTTGCAGTTGGATGTTTAATTCTTATATTTATTTGAAAGTTTTCTCCATTTTAATGTATTTCCTAATGCTACTTATTGTCCCAATCTGATTTTTCTATTGAAAATTTTGTCCCAATCTGATAGGTGTACTTGTTACTCCATCAAATGGACCAAGAAAGTCAAAATCCTCCTCCAGGATTGAGACACTTGAATTTGAAGAAGTCATTTAAGTTGGGCATACGTTCTTTGCTCACAGCATGTTCTAAGGAGGTAATATCTTGTCCCTTCACATTTTTTAGTAGACATACTTTGAACTTCCTTAAAAGAGGCATTACTTGGTTTATTGATAAAAAAAAAAAAAATCTTGGCCTGGCAAGTCTGAGAATGTGGGTTTGAGTTTGAGAGAAGCCACTTTGTGTGGAAATGCTAAAGGTTAGGATCCTTCCAAGACTCCAGATAGATGGTATGTATGTGTATATATATATTGATCGGCAACAAAAAAATGATTCATTAATTTAAAGATAAGGAGTACAACAAGGAGTTGTGGGCAAAGATAACAAGCCCAAGTAAAACTATCCCAATATTTACAAAACAGCCCAAAACATGGACCGTCTTTGGATTCCTTGTTTAGCCAAACCATCAACCATACTGTTTGTAGATCTTCTAATCCACTTTAGCTAAACCATCATCTCCTAATCCTTAATCATCTCATTTGACAAACATGAGTGTACTGAAAATCCACTTTCATTTGGTTTACCCTTTCAAGAAATCCAACTTAAAGGCTATTTTTCATATTTTTCTGACTTTACCAGAAAGTTGCTGCATCTTCCTTAAAGGTGACCTTTTTTGAGTAGGTTGAGAGAATTGAATTTCAGGAAGGAAAAACAAGAAAAAGAAGCTGTCCAAACCATCTAAAATTCTTTCCAAGGCATGCCAAAGCAATGTCTTTATGTAAATTGTTCACATGCCTTAACTTTCACTTGCAATTGGTTTATGTTATGTAAAGTTTAATTATGCAACATGTATGGATTTTCTTAAGCAATCAATGTTTTGAAAGTGCAAGGTGCAAGAAGCAAGTCACAAAATTAGAAAAAAAACAAAAAATTAACATGAAAATAGTATTAATTAATAAAATGCAAATTTAAAATTTAAAAGAAACTAAATGTTTTAACAAGCTTGTCTCAATTCTCAAATTTAAATATATATACATAACATTTAAAACATGGAAAGTGAAAAAATGTAGAAATAAAATCAAACATAGAATATAAAACATATTTAAGCACTTAACAATTCAAGCATGCAAAACTTTGAATACCTTTGTTTTTTCCCTGTTGCATTACTTCAAGTAGTTAATGTGATGTTAAACATTTTGCATTCTTAATTCTACGAGCTTCCTATTTACCAAGCTCCTTGAGGTAAGCCCAAAAAAGTCCATGGCAGGGTCGGTGAGGGTGGCAGTGGGTGGCATGTTGGATAAAAACTATGGAAGCATTTTCAGATTTTACAGTAGATGATGATGTGATGAGAAATTGAAGAGCGGTGATGGGATCCTCATCAAGAAAGTAAAGGGTAGCAAGGAGTTGGTCCCCTCTGGAATTGGGTTTTATCAAATTGAATTTTAAGGGGAGCAGCTTCAAAAGCCCTGCAACTTCAGGAACTCAAGGGGCATGGAGAAGGGATAGATTTGTGCAATGTTCTTAGAATTGATAAGGGAAGGGCATTCCACAAGGGCAGAGATAAAATGGAGGTAGTGTGTGGGGTGCCAATGGCTATGGAAATGAGGGTGGAAAAACTTATAGTTGAATTAGATTAAAAATTTGTGATAAGTTGGCTGTTGTAAACAGTCCTAGAGTATTTTACTTCATTAGGTAAAAATACATACAAGTTATACAATCCTAGGTCAGAGAACATGGAAGGATACCAAATATTTTTATAAATTTCTTAAAATTGTTCCCAAAAAAATTTTCCTGACCTACTCCCTAGTTAGCTAATCCATCAGCCATTTCATTTACATATCTATTCACTTAATGGACTTGTAGCTGCATGTTTCTTGTCTGCCACTTAAATTTCTTGATTTCATTTCTATATCTCCATGGGACTGCATCATTGTTACATAGCCAACTAATCATCACCTTGGAATCCCCTTCAATAATTAACTTCTCTAATTGCTTCTTGTTTGCTTGCTGCACTCCCTGTAATACCACCATTAATTCTGCTCTTGATGAGTCTCCTACTCCAATGGGACATGAGAATAAAACAATGATGTGACCCTCTTAATTCCTAAACACATCTCCAATTCCAGAAGGTCCCTGATATCCCATACCAAAATTGAATTTTATGAATACCCTTGTTGGAGTCTTCAAAGTCCCTCGAGTTGTACTCTTTCTTGTAGATGTTATGATACACCCCTCCCCATTTTCTAATTGTCATCCGTTGAGAAATCTTTGAACTTGTCAAGAGTTTTGGTGCAATAGCCACCCCAGTTGTAATGCATTCAATTATTGCCTCCTTTGTTCTTTCCTATTCCTTGAAGTTTCTTGCAGTCAAGAGGATTGCAGCTGTGGAGCTCTAGTACAGCTCTAGTCCTTTCAGGTTTTTTATTCAAAGAAATGTTCAAATGGCTAATGATTTAAAAATTCAATTTGTCAATAGAATTCCCATAATTTTGATGTGCATGTAATTTGACATATATCATTCTACTCTTTGGTTTGATAGATCTGTATAAAAAATGCATGATTGACTATTGTTTTATTGGTAACAGTTAAAAGCTTATTTTTCAATTGACAACAGAAGATTTTATTATTTTAGCGAAAGAATGTGGTTAACCATACCTAACCCCTAATCTGTTTTCTTTGGAAAATAGGTTTACACTACTGTCCTTTAGCGTCTTTCCATTAAATTTTTCATATCTAGCCTTATTCCATCCTTAACCAGTGTAATAAAGCCATCAGTTCGGTTCTTATGGAGTCCTAAATCCTAATACCAATAGAATCTGAAAATAGAGCGACCATAGCTCCATTTCTATCTACAAACATACCTCCAATGCCTGAGATTCATGGGTTTCCAAGGTTGCACCTGTCAAAGTTTAGCTTGATTTAATTCAATTGAGGAGGAGCACATTCTCTAGATATAGAAGGCTTCTGGAATAAGAAAGAGCCATTGTTTGCTATCCTCTAAGAATATCTTCCTTTGAGAACAGAGCAAAGATCTCAATACACCACTCTGATGGATATATTTTCAATTATTACTTCCTTAGAGAATCTCTTTTCCTTGAATATTCTATTGTTTCTTTCTTCTCAAATGGTCTATAGGATAGTGGCTTTGTGCATGTCTAACAAATCTTTCCTCTTCTTTTGGGCAGATTAAAAAAAGTAAGGCAAGAATATGCTACTTACATCACTAGGTGGAGACCACTAGTGCAAAAGAGTGTTAGAAACCATCCTAGATATAGGAAGTAAAAGAGCAGGAGATTAGTAGTTGGAAAGTAGTTTCTCCACTTGTGTCATGTAGAAAACATTTATGAGGTGAGAGACGCCAATAGGCTTTCTTTTCTGCAACATATCACAAGTGTTAATTTTCTTGTAGAATACCTTCTGATAAAAAGCCTTGATTTTGGGTGGGACCAGTCCAAATTAGATGGATCTAGCAGGAAATATTTGTGGGACATGGGAAGAAGCTAAGGATTCTTGAAAAGAAGTACAAGAGAAAGCACCCTAACGAGTTAAAGTCCAAATTTTAGATTCAGGTTTGATGGTTACATACAAGAAGACCCCTTCCACTGAATGCCATACATGAGGAATATGCTTAACACTCCTTAAAATAAAGGTCGGTGCCTGCTGCCTGTCCCATTGGTCACGTTTTCATTCTTTTTACATCCAGCAAAAAAAACGTCTTTTTAACTAGATTATTATTTAGCCTATTTGCTGGTCTTTGAACCCAAGTAGAAGATTTTCTTGCTTGTCCAGTCAAGTGCATCACTTTTCTTTATGATGTGTCTGTACTGTGAAGGGCCTATGCTGTTGTTTTGGAACAACCTTACAACTATCTCTTACTGACCTACCAACAGATTACAATAGTTCAAAGATCTCTAAACCTCATTCCTTACATGTTTCAGCAGTTGCCTTTGTTGAATCACTTGCATGATTGACTGGTTTGTTCATACTATACAGGATTTCTCCAAGGCATTTTCGATGTTCAACAATGCTGAGCAAGAAGGTCTTCATCGGCTATTTCTTCAGGTACTTTTTCTCCTGATGTACTTTTGACATTATATATCCTGTGTTTGCATTGTGCTGCTTAATTTTTTATATATCACCTGGATTGGTTGGCAATAGGGGTTTTGCCAGTTTCCAACAATGATTTGTGCTCTTAAAACTGAAAAACTTAAATAGTTCTAATGGATGACTTATTACCTAGGCATATAGTATATTTTGTTTGTAGATGATATAGTTTTGATTATAAAGAAGCATGGAATGCAATGCTAGCAGAGATTTAGAGCTGGGTGGACAAGTCAGTGATGTGCCTAAGAAATATTTTGTGATCAACAAACACCATTCAAATTGAAGGGAAATTTATAGGACAGCTGTAGGCCAGCCATGCTTTATGAAGTAGAATGTTGTGTGGATCGATGGGCAAACCATAGGAGAGATTAAGAATGTAGTAAGGGATCTGGGGGCTACTTTTTTTATGGGCGAAGGGAGCAAGCGAATGGGATCTAATTCATTGGCTTAGCAAGGGGTGTATGGGGAACAACTATTTTGGGCATAGTTGYAACTGGGTTTGTTGAAAAACTGTAAAAGCATAGTTTTCAAGGCACCAAGGCGAGGCTAGGCGACAGGGGGGTGCCTTGTTGCCTAGTTGCCTAGGCGTCGCCTAGGTGGTGGATTTTTTTAAGTAAAAACGTGTATCCTAGGATAGTTCCCTAGGTTCCATAATCATATTTCCTTAATAAATATCCATAATTTTCACAAGAAAAGTATAAACTTCATGTCAACATATTCCAACATATTCATGAGAAGAAAAAGAAGAAAGAAAAGAAAATTCAAAAACTATGGGGGCTGAACCCCTATTTCTGTTATAGGAAAGGAAGAAATTAATATATAAACATACAAAATTAGTAAAGAAAAAGAAGAAAATGTGTTGACTGGACAACATTTTATGTTCTTCCTTACTTATTGGTTCACGTTTTGAAGTCTTTAAGGTGTTCTTCCTTAGCAATGTTTGTGTTGATTAAACCCTAACAAATAAGAAAATAATAAAAAGAAATTAGTATATAAACACACAAAATGAATATTTTAGTTTAAAAATGTCTATTTTATAATTATAACCTAAAAAATTAAGAATATAAAAGTTTTTTACAACACGCTATAGAAAACTGCTTGGCAGTTAGGCGAGGTGTGCCTCCAAGGGTGCCTTGTCGCCTAGGCGCCCGCCTAGGCATCACCTTGACGACTATGTGTAAAGGGACTGGTTTTCTTTTGTACCAGCACTAATATGTAACATGATTTAAGTTATTTTAATGAAATCACTTGCGTACTGGTCAACAAAAAAAAGTAGAATGTTGGGAAATTTGATAGTGGAAGGTGAATCAAAAGTTGTTGCTGGTTGGTTAAAAAATTAAAGTCAAGGATCTGGTAGATCTGTGATAGGCCCCCAATTAACCTTACGTATGCCAGGAAGAGGAAATGTCAACAATCAGCTAAGGGGGGGGGGAAATAATTGAACAATTAATCACATGAGGGCAATTATAGCTGGAGGGAATAAGGAGTCTTGGGGCATTTATAGCTATGTCAGTTATGAAAAAAGAAGAGTTTTTGGGCATTTATAACTAGGCCAGCTGGGCATTTATAGAGGGAGTCAGTTATGCTATCAGAAGAGTATAAGAAGGG